GAAGATCCCACATGCTGCGGAGCAACTAAGCCCGTCTGCCACAATTACTGAGCCTGCGCTCTAGAGCCTGCGAGCCACAACTACTGAAGCCCACGTGCCTAGAGCCTGTGCTCCACAACGAGAAGCCTGCGCACCTTAACGAAGAGTAGCCCCTGCTCGCTGCAACTAGAGAAAGCCCGTGCACAGCAACAAAGACCCAACGCAGCCAAAGAAAAATAAACAATATAAATAATTTTTTTAAAAAAAGAATGTGCGCTGTAGGAGTGTGATTCTTTAATGCTTGTAGAAATTTCCGGAGTGACTTAACAAGGGATCAGTTTCTGTAAATGTTCCTTGTGCCCCAAATAATGACTATTTTATTCACTATCAATTGGCAAGTTCTGCAGGCATCAGCCGATTTGTGACTGCTGTGCTCATGAGTTCTTTTACATCCTGTCTAATCCCTTATCAGCTTCATCCTTCAGTCTGATAGAAATAGAAATCTCTTAAAAGAGGGTGGACTGTTGATTTCTCCTTGTAATTCTGTCGGGTTTTGCTTGGTATGTTTTTTGAGCCGTGCTGTTAGGCTGCGGCTTCCTTTTATTGTTATGTAATGTACTTCCTTATTTTTACTACAGCTTTTTTTTCACCTTCTCTTTCACTTCCATTTTGGCTGATGTTAACATTACACCAGCTTTCTTTTGGTTAAGGTCTACTTAATTTATCTTTTTGTACCCATTTAATTTTAAATTATGTACTATTTCAAACATTCAGAAAGGTACAGTGAATAATATTTAAAGCTCTATGTACCCATTGCCCAGCTTAAGAAATAAAGCTTTAAAATGTAGCTGAAGTTCCCTCAATAGAAATCTCCAGTCTCATTCCTCCTCTCCCCAAGCCCACCTCACCCTGAATTTGGTGTTAAACACTCCCGTGCAAGCTTTTACACCTTTACTTCCATATATACCATAAACTTGTTATGCAATGTGTTTTGAAACAAGATGTTTCCATCCTTATTAAATATTTAGTATCATATGCTAAACCATAATGGAAAAGAATGGAAAAAAGAATGTATATATATATGTATAACTGAATCACTTTGTTGTACAGCAGAAATTAACACAACACTGTAAATCAACTACACTTCAATTTTAAAAATTAGGGCTTCCCTGGTGGCGCAGTGGTTGAGAGTCCGCCTGCCGATGCAGGGGACACGGGTTCGTCCCCCGGTCCGGGAGGATCCCACGTGCCGCGGAGCGGCTGGGCCCGTGAGTCATGGGCGCTGAGCCTGTGCTTCCGGAGCCTGTGCTCCGCAGCGGGAGAGGCCACAGCAGTGAGAGGCCCGCGTACCACAAACAAACAAACAAACAAACAAAAAAAAAATTAAATAGGATCATATGCCTTGTATTATTTCAAATCTTGCTTTTTTTTTCTTTTAGCTTAACATTGCTTGTGATCCATGTTAATATAGTTAATTCTAGGTCATTCACGGTCCTGCTGCACAGACGGAACACACCCTCCTTAGCCACTCTCCTGATGATGAACAATCAAGAGGTTTCCAGCGTTTTGCTATCATACACGATGCTGCTGCGATGGTCTCACAGGTCTCTCTCTGTGCATTAGGCCAGGGACCTTCCAGAGCATGTACCCACAACAGCAACTGCTGTTGTGTGAGTTCCGGTGGGTTAGATACTGTGACATTACTTTCCAAAGTGGTTCTACCAACCCACCAACAGCATAAAGGAATCCTCATTTCTCCACATCTCTAAAAGTTGAGACTGTTAGATTTCTTAATTTCAACTAAACTGACAGGTGGGTTTACTTTGCATTTCCTGACTACGAGTAAACAGATGATGGTTTTTACAGGTCTACTCATCAGCCCAATTTCCTGTCCCGAGTTCCTTGCTTATACACTTTGCCCTTTCCTTTTTGATTTGTGGAAGTCTTCGATTTATTCTGGTTATTGGTTATTTATTCTGGCTGTTGGTTATTAGCTAATGCTGTGGAAACATCCACTCCCAGCCTATGACTTGTTCGTTTGACCTTTCTATGGTGTCTTTTGATGCACAGAAATTTGTATTTCAACAGCCAAATTTGTCAGAGCTTGCCTTTATGATCTGTGCTTTTCTACATCTTCCTTAAGAAGGCTTTCCCGGCTCTCAGTCAGTAACGTTACTCTCCTGTGTGTCCTAAAACTTCAGAGCTGCTCTTCACAGTTATGTCTTAATTCATCTGAACTGATACTCAAATCTGCTACAGGGTAGAAATCCAACTCCATGTTTTTGTCTATGGATAACCAAACTGTCCGTCTGCAGCAACAACATGAGTGTTCTGTGTATATAAGTATTTCATCTGTAAATCATGACATTTTTTTCTTTCTTCCTTGGCAATCCTGAGAAATGTTATTTCATTTTTTTCTTATTCTACTGCACTAAGACCACTCATACTAGCATAATCTGCTAAGGGTTTTTATTTGCAAGGAGTGTTGGGTTTTATCATGGGATTTTCTTTAAGGAAAAAAACATTCACGACGGACAGTTTCAAACATACAAAGTGGAGAGTGTAATATATCCCTACGTACTCATCACCCAGCTTCAACAATCAACACAATTTGTCAGTCTTGATGCATCTGCCTCTCTCTCTGGTGCTTGGCTGTGCTTTTGCTAGAGTTCAAATGTTTTTTCTGATCATACGTGGTTTTTGTCCTTCTTTAATCTGTTAAGATGAATTACATTAATAGACCTTCTAATGTTAAATCATCTTGCATTTCTAGGATGGATTCAAGATGATCATAAAGATGATCTTTAAGTACATCCAGACTGGATTAGTTCTTATTTCCCTCAGGATGTTTTGTCTCTCTGTGTGTGATAGTAATCTATATTTTCCTTCTCTTATATTGCCCTTGTCTAGTGTTTTCATATCAAGGTTATTCCAGTCTCACAAAAGGGTGGGTGTTTCCTCTTTAACTCCTCTGGAGTCGTCTGTATAAAATTGGAGTAACTTTTCTTAAATATGCAGCAGAATTCACTTGTAAAACTGTCAGCGTGGTCTCCAGGGCAGGTAGATTTTTCAATTATTCAATTATTATTCAGAAATTATTCAGTTTCTGAAATAGCCCAGGTTTTCTGCTTCTCCTTGGGTTAATGCACCTTTTCCCCCCATTTATCTGCTTTCCTAAACGTATCCGTATCCGTGTCTGCAGTGCTCTCAGCAGTTGGGTGCGACTCTCAGAATCTGTGTCTGGATGTGTCTTTCTTCCACCTCGAATTGCGGCTCTCTGAGTGGGAATTCCAGGCCAACAGGGACCGTCCTCCAATATTTTAAAGTTGCTTTTCCAGACCTTCTGGCATCATTGCCACGAGAGGCCTGCTATCAGACTGGCATTCTTTTGCAGGAAATCTGTCTTTCTAGAACAGATTTTAGGATTTTCTCTGTATCAGGCTGTGTCCAGGTCTCAGCTCTTTCTGGAACATCGCTGGCACCCTCTCTCCCCGCCTCTGAGCCGCAGCTGGCTCAGGTCCTCCGCGTTCTTGAGAGGATCACGTCGGTGTACGGTTCAGCCTCCACTTTTTATTTCAACAGCTGTGTCTTTTACTTCTAGGAATGTCACTTAGTTATCTTTCACATTAACCGGAGATCCTCAGTTCCGAGGTGGCTTTCTCCCGTAATTTTGTGCTGAGTTCTCCCTTCAGCCCTCTGAGGGTTAAAGGCACCTGCGTTAATCAGTGCTGCTTCAGCTTCTTAGGAGCGGCTCACCCTCCACCTGTGGGCGTGGTCGGGCAGCTTCACCAGGAGCAGAGTTCAAGCTGCTCTCCCCCTGGTCACATGCCTCCCTGTGCCCTCTCCAACCCCATTCAGAAGCAGGGGCTCCGGCCTGGGTCTCAGGCCCTCGACCCAGCGTCATCCTGTGGGCGTCACAGGCCCGGCTGGGCCAACGGTCAGTCCTGGCCGTCCTCTCAGCCTCCTCCAGCCTCGACCACTCTCCCGGCCTCCTTAAAGGGCTGGACGCTTCCCCAGCTCTGAGTCAGCCAAGCCATTGGCAATGCTTCTGATGGAGAAGGTGCAAAGGGTAATAGGCCGACGGGCAACCCAATCCTTAAAGCTCAGAGGAGGGCGAAGCCACAGGACCCAAAAGTGGGGTCGGACAGGAAACAGAACGATGACAGCCCGGGGTCTGGACTCCTGCCAGGCCGGGAGCAGACGAGCGTCTGGGAAAAGAGCTGCTCTGCTCCACCCGGTCGGGGGCGGGGCTTGCGGGTGACATCACGAGACTGAGTCACTCCGTCAGCAAGCGTCTAGTGTGGTTCGAACGGTCGGCTGGAAAGACGCCTTCCTTTGAGAGAGGAGCCCCAAAGGTCCCCTCTCCATACACTCATTGTGGCTCCAGCGCTGGCTGGGGGGCAGCGCCAGCGGCCCCAGAGGCCAGGAGCCAGGCAGGGCCCTGGCCAGAGCACCTGCAGCCTGTGGGCTTCCGTAAGTGCCATCGTGGGCACCCACCCCGCCCCCAGCCCCCGCCTGTCCTGCTTGGCCTCAGGCGTGGCGGAGGGTGCTCATGAGGCAGAGGGCTTTATCACATCGGTGAGGCCACTTGTGGGGCACCCAGGGGCCACAGCTCTGTGAGGGGGACAGCACTGAACCGGGAGAGTCCTCAAGAGGGAACCAAGGCTCAGCGTCCCCAGGGGCTGCGGGCGGCGTGTTTCCAGACACAAAGGGAAACTGAGGGGCCGCTGGGGCCAAGCCATTGGAGGGAGAAGCCTGGGGAGTGCTTTCCACTCGACTCTCAATGGACGACGGCCGTGATCGGTTCCAGGTCTCGGGGGCAGAGAGGTAAGTGGCGACCTGAAGCCAGGGCCTCCCAAGGTGTCCACCTGTTCCTCGGGCAGCTCCCTCCCGACCCAGTCCCAGCGCGGGGGGCGCACGTCAGAGGCGTGAGGGGCTGACGGGGAAGGCAGGCTGCGCACCCTGCACACCTGGCAGGCGGGCCCCACATGCCAGAAGTGAGCCAGGAGCGGGAGCCTTACCTGGAAGACCGTGAGGATGGCGGCGGGGAAGGTGTCGAAGTTGGTCGTCGGAGTCTCGTCCTGAAAGTTGAACCTGAGAGGAACAAGGGTCTTGGACAGAGGCAGCTCCATCGGGCTGGACGGGCTGCGTCTGGTGACAGCGGCCCCCCTCAGGACCCTCAGGGAGGGGGCGGGGGACGCGCCCGGGGCGGCACCGTCCCCTCCGAGCGCTGCGCCCGGGGCCCGGCCTCACTTACTGCCCCCCGAAGAGCTGCATGCCCAGCAGGGCGAAGACCACGATAAAGAGGAAGAGCAGGAAGAGCAGGCTGATGATGGACTTCATGGAGTTGAGCAGCGACACCACCAGGTTCCGCAGGGAGCTCCAGTACCTGCGGGGAGTGGCCTGGCCTGAGCGCCTGGACGCCCGCACACGGACGCACGTGCCTGCGGCTTCCGGCGCCTGCTGGCCTGAGGGCCCACGCTCGGTGCGTGGAGAGCGCTTTCTCCAGGGGTCCAGACCACCTGTCTGGACCGCGCCCGCCCCCCGCCCACAGGGACAGCAGACGCCGAGGGTCCAGCGCTGAGCTCACGATTGCCTCCTACACCTGCTCCCCAGTCTCCCCCCCCACACACGACCACGCCCACCTTCGCCCCTCAACCCCCTCAGGCCAACTCGCGGGAAGCGAGGGCCACGGCCACACAGGAGAAGGGGCTGCACTGGAGCATCCATCAGCATCGCCACCCTCAGCACGCGGGTCCCCACGCAAAGAGCCTCCGCTGAGCAGGCCGGGCACGGGGTGCAGACGCTGACCCCGGCGGCCCCTCCCAGAGGGCCAGGGCCACACAGCACGGAGCAGCCCTCCAGCCTCAACTCCCTTCCACCCCACCCCTCCAACGCTCCTGGGGGTCCGAGACTCTGTCCCTCTCATTCACCTGGACCCCCCTGGCTCACAGGCCCCCTGAGGTCTGCCCACGGTCTAGCTGCTGCTGGCTCGCCGGGTGATGAGTCCCCTCCAGCTGCGACCCCCAGGAGAGCCCAGACGGACGTACCACGTGCCTCTGTGCCTTTGCACTTGCTGTCCTCTGCCCTGGACTAGGGCATCTGCCTGGGGCATCCCTGGGCCCTTGTCCCCCAGGCTGCTTCACAGAGGCCCACCATCCTCCTCAGGCTCTCTGACTAGGTAGGTGAGAGTTAACGGGAGATGGGCTGGAAGACTCCAAACAGCCTTGTCGTGGGATGGGCGGGGTGTAGGTCAGCCCACGTCAGGACAGGGGCCACCCGCTTTCCAGGAGGAAATGGAGCTGCTAAGACGCCAGGCCCACGACCAAGGAGAGGGCAGCACCGGCCGTCATCTCCTGAAGCCCCTTCTCCCACAGAAGCAGCAGAGCACGGAGGGCAGGCAGCGCGGGGCACCCAGCAGCCTTTGTGGGCCAAGCCGACCGAACTCCTGTCCAAAGCTCCTCCACGGTTAAACTGTCCTGACCTCGAATGGCCTCAGGTTTGGATTTAAAACAGAACAGAAAAGACCAGGAGGCTGTGTCGGTCACTGCGGCGGGGGCCTGGAGCCCAAGCCACCTGCGCAGGCTTGGTCTGGACCGTCCCACAGCCGTCGTGACCTGGGCCACCAGGGACACTGCGTGGAGACCGGTGCCAGGCACGTGCGGGCCACGTGCTCCAGCCGCTCACGGGGTGGGAGCCTCAGAGCCTCGGGGTGGCTCGGGTACCACTGTGGAGTCCTACGGCCATGGCCGTTGGGGTGAGGGCAGATCTGCTGCTGCCGAGACAGCTGTGGATGAGGGCGGCCCCCCTTCCCAGCACTGCTGCTCTGGCAGAGAGGGGGGAGGTTTGGCCTGCGTCGCATTCTGGCCTGGGCCTCAGCCTCCTTGTGGGCAAAAGGGAGAGACCTGCTTCCAGGCTGTGAAGAGCCAAGTGGGATGAAACTGAACACACGGTCAGGGCCCCGTCCTGTCACCGAGGACAGGCCAGGCAGCGTCGGCCCCGAGTGGAAAAGGCAGGCCTGGGAGTTCCAGTCAGAAGGTCAGAGTCCCGTCGGGGCCAGGACGGGAGCAGGGCCGCAGGGTAGGTGAGCGGACTTAGGGGCGGGACGATGGGAAAACACCCATCTGATAGCCTCTGCTTTCTCCATTAACTATGGAGCAGAGTCATCCTTTGAGGTTGGAAGGTGGGCTTGCTGATTTCAAGAGAGGAGACAGGGTGAAACCGTGGGGAGCGAGCTAAGGAAAGAACCAGAAGTGCTGGGGCTGGAAATGGCGCTGCAGGTAGACGGGCTCCCAGGGCCGACACGAAGTCCTGCTGGGCTGTGGCCCTCGCTCGCGTGGGCTGCTTTGTGACTGTCTTCTGGTTTTAACCAGTTAAAACCCACAGAAAGAGATTCCAGGCAGCTGAGGGCAAGACCCATGCCGCACGTCCCCAGGAGCGGCACCTGTGTTGGCTTGGCTCCCACGCTGCCTGCGCCCCCCCGCCCCCCAAAGCGCATGGATGACATACTTCGTGACTTTGAAGATTCTCAGCAGCCGGAGTGCCCGCAGCACACTGATCCCAAAGGACGTTCCGGGCTTGATGGCCGCCCAGACCACTTCGAAGATGCTCCCCACGATGACCTGCAACGGAGACGGGGTCAGCCTGGGGCGCGTGTGCGGCTGTTTCTCTCCGTAAGCATCTGCCCCGCCCACCCCGTCCGCAGCTCAAGCCACAGAAGGCAACATGAGGCACAGGCCTCACACTGAGCCCCTGCCGCCTCCGGGAGCTGCAGACGGTGTCCGCCCTTCCCCCACCCAGACACACCAGGACGACACAGAACAGGGGCGAGTGGGGCTGCAGCTTTCCCGGCAGATCCTAAAGCCTCCTCATCTGATGCCTTCATCACAGCCCGGTGACCCTCTGGGGCCGGCAAACCGCCTCCAACAGCTCTGACTGTCAGGCTGCTCTCATACAGACCGGCAGACTCTGCTTCCCTGTAACATCCCCTTTCTGGTCCTGCCACCTCTGAGATGCTCCAGTTCATAAATGCATCTTGTCTTCTTCCGAATAGCGGGAGCCAGCAAGTAACACCAAGGAGAGACGGGGGCAAGCCTGCCCCTTGTTTCACCAACAGTCATCCCGGGCGCCGTCCACGTTGGTGCACCGGGACTTGCGGGCAAGAGGCCTGCCCCTCCTTCCAGCCACTCCTCAGCATCAGTGTCTCACGTGAGGGACTCAGAAAGGACAGAGCAGCAGGGCTGAAGCATAGCGGACCCCTCACCCAACGGCACCCAAACAGAATTCCCTCCCTGGCCACTGCACCTCACAGGGCACACCCGGGCTTGCGGTCAGCGTGAGCGCTCGTGTGCTCTTCGTGCGTGTGGCTAATTCTCACTCCTTCTGAGCTGGCTTCTGCAGCTGGTGTGGAGAACTCCACTGCCGAACGTCAATCTCTTAAATTCCCATTTGCTTCGCTGGTCTCACACATCACCCAAGGTTTCAGTCACTTCCACCCATTTCATACCAGCTGCAAACATGATCAGCTCGACATCAACATCCTCACCAAGCCTGACCAACAGTGACTATGCCAGGGCAGCGGTCCCTGCAGGTTAGCACTGGTCCACAACCCTGCGTGTCTGGTCTGCTGGCTGCACCAGCTCCACATCACCCCAAATGCACAGCCTTCCACTGCACGTTTCCCCACCCTGGACGCAAGCACATCATTCAGAGGAGTTCAGACCTGCTCACAGCTGCGGCACCCACTACGACCCTAGCAGGGCAGCGAATGGGACGAGCTTGTCACGTCTGTCCTTGGTCCCCTGAAAACCACCACCAATTTGTCTCAGCATCACACAGCACCCAGATCGTGCCCAGGGCTGAAGACTATTGTTTTCTAAATCTACTTTCTTCTCACTGTCACTCTTCCAACACGTCTCCTATTTCCCATTAATCCTCAAAATTTGCTCGCATTGGTTCACAATGTAGGTGGCCTCTCAAGACGGCCCCCATGATCCCCACTGCTTCGGGTTCACCCCCTTGTACACCCCTGTCCCCTGGACGGTGGACTGGACCTGGTGACCCACTTCCAGCAAACAGAACACAACAAACGTGACGGGCTGGCACCTCTGACAACAGTTACAAGAAGCCTGAGGCTTTGGCCTTCGTGCTCTCGGCCCTCTCTTGGGCCACGGCTGCCGTTCTGTGAGGACACTGGGGCAGCCTGTGCAGAGGCCCACGTGACCAGGCCCGAGCCTGCCAGCAGCCGCCAGAGTGAGGCCGGAGGATGACTCTCTGAGGTCTGTCAACAGTCACGAGCACAAGCCTGGAAGGGAGCTCTCCAGCCCAGTGGAGGCTGCGAGGACTGAACCTCGGGAGGGACCCGGTGAGTCACAGCCTGACTGCTCCCCCACCGGAGTGAGAGGACGAACATTTGCTGCTTTAAGCCACTAAGCCCTGGAGTAACTTGTTACCCAGAAAGAAAGACCAATACCGACTTCGGAAGCAGGAGTGCCGTGCTGCTGAACTAAGATCCCCAGGCGCAGGGAGGCTCTGGAGTCAGGGAGCGGCCCCAAGCAGCACATCGGCGACGGCCTGAGGCACCCTGAACACACTCTTCCGAGGATTCTGGACTCTGAAGGTGCCGCCTGTGAGGCCTGCAGGAGAGCGAGGGGGCATAGGAAACTAAGGAGGGGATCGGGCAGAGAGCCACGCTGCAGCCGCAGGGGCAGCGGGAGATGTGCCTCCTGCGCTGGGGCGCTGGCGGAGGCGCCGTCCAAGCAGAGTGCATGCGGCGCTGCTGCCTGGCGCCTCCTGCTGCTCGCGGCCCAAGGCGGGAGGAGGGCGGGAACTGAGGAAGTGCTGCTAAGTGAAGAGAAGCCGCAACTCGCCAGTTTGGGAGATGCTCAGCCTCTCCAGAGACCAAATAAGGCCAACGTTAAGAAATGGCACGGTCTGAAAATGAAGCCAAGGGCACAACGGGGGCTGGTATGGAAGATCCCAAAAGATCAAAGGCGGGGCCTCAGAGCACATTCAGCCGCTCTCCGGCCCTTCAAGGGACGTAGGGTGAGCCTCGCAAATGGGCCTCACGAAGCAGTAAGTTCTCCAGGACGTGGAAGGGTGTTGACCTTGGTCATCTCAGCCGCAGCTGAGTCCGAGAAGGGCTCATCTCTAAGAGAGCTGTGGGCACGGCTTCCGTCCAATGGAGTGAACTCTGGGAAGACTCACAGCACACCCACAATGCTCTTAAAAGGCTTACACGCACAAAAATATCACCAGCTTGGGTTGAAATGCAAAAACCAAAACGAGGCCTTTGGATTCCCAAAATTCTACTAAGCAGGAAGCAGGCCAAGAAAACCTCAGCTGAAAACGTTTACTACCTTTCATGAGAAGGAAAGGGGACTCAGGGTAAAACCAAGAGGCCAAGGGCTCCCAGGCCCCAGAACGAATCAGGGCTTTCCCAACACGTGCTGGCTGGAGTCCAGCCGGCCCTCCTGTGCGTCCCACTGGCCCCATTTTGAACGGGAAGGTCTAAAGCAGCTACCCCTGCCCGTCCCACCGCTGTATGCTGGGTGTGGGCGTGGATAGCTTGTCTCTCTCAGTTCACGGCTCTAAGATTGAAAGAAACTGCAGGAGCTTCAACCAGACCTGGGTCCGATTTGGATGACGAGATTCGGGACGCTGAGCTGATGCTGTGATGGGATGCGTCTGGGGAACTGGGAGTGGAGGTGAGTGTATCTTACACTGGGAGGAATCTGGATCAGGGGACTGTGGTAGTCAGCCTCCGGGACGGCCCCCAAGGACCCCTGCCTCCTGGTGTTCGCATCCCTGGGTAACATTCTCCCCATGAAAAGCGGGCGGGCCCGGTGACTCCTTCCTGACAAATGTTAATACAGTAGCAAGGCTGACGGCTGTCTCTCCTGAGACTGGTTTCTGTAGCCTCTGTCAGGTACTCGCATCACGAGCTGCCACACAGTGAGGACACGCAAGCAGCCTGTGGAGAGGCCACGGGACCTTTGGGAAGCGAGGCCAGTCACCAACCACGAGTGAGTCCTATCAACAGCCTGTGAGGAGCCTGAACGCAACGCTCCAGTCCTAATCAAGCCTTGGGATGACTGCGTCCCCGGCCTCAGCTGGGCTGTAAACGCGTGAGAGATCCCGGGCCACAGGTACCCTGTAAAGCCACGCCTGGATTCCTGACCCTTAGAAACTGTGAGGTAACAGATGCTTGTTTTAAGCTGCTAAGTTTTGGAAAACGTTGTTGGCTTGTGTACAAATGATTCCCCCGCCCTGGGGCCTAGCTGGTCCCCAGACGCCGTCACTCTGAAGTCCCCTCCCCTCTTTGGGTCCCCTCCGCCTGTGCGCACCACGGCTTTCTTTGTAACCAAGAAGGCAAAGGAGTAGAAGAGGTGGCTTCCCCACAACCATCTGTGAAAATCGCAGGTGCCCACATGTCCCAGAGAGCACCTGGGCAGCCACCGCCTTCCCCCGCCCAGAGCTCAGGCAGCATGGCGGCCGAACGACGCCCAACCCGGGCTCCAGCGCTGACTCCCCCGCACACTAGCTGGGCAGTCCTGGGCCCATCACACAATGTCTCCAGTTATTCATGTATGAAGTGAGTCGTCGTGAAGATCTGACAAAGTCGTAGACACTGTCTGTCAGCTGCACTGCAGCGCAGGGAGGAAAAGGTGAAGTTAAACTGCATCCCAAGTCGAAGTTTTCCTTCGACCGAGGTCCAGCCTCCTCCCTGGCTTCTGAGAAGTCTGCAGAGGTGCAAGGCCTCCTCGGGCTGTGGCACGGCCGCTTCTCACTCAGAGCCTCCACCAGGTCAGAACTCAGCCTCTGGACAGGTGTCAACAGCATCCCATCCCCAGGCTCTGGGCTCAACACAGGGAGGCATCCTGCATGACCTGCGGAGCCCAGGGAAGGGGACTCTTCGCTGCCCCGGCCCTGTGCTCGTCCACAGTGAGCCTCAGAAACACCTGCCTTCCAGGCCTCCCTCACCTGCATGCAGAGGCTGGTGAAGGGACCCAGGCCCACTGCTCCCCTCCGGCCTCCCCAGGAAGCGCTGCTGCGTGTGCCCAGGACCAGACCCGCAGGAATGATGGGGGTCAGGACCACAGCCCCCTTGAGCCTCCACGGGACAGCAGACATTTAGAAGATCGCATACCAGGTACAGAGGTGGCCACAGAGCCTTAAGCTGATCTTGAGACTCTACAGACAGGGCCAGGGAGGGAAGGAGGCTGCCCAGGGCCAGCACCCGCACCAGTCAGGGCCTGACCAGGACAGGCCTCCCCTGCCTGCCAGCAGCCTTTCTGACCCACAGGGGATCACAGTCCCCCAGGCCCCGGGCTCTGCTCCACAGGCCCCAGCTCACACTGGGTATGGCATCGTGGGAGGGGTGCGTGCGCTCTCCGGCCAGGACGCCGCGGACCTGCCTGGACCCCCAGCAGGCGCCCGTGACGAGGTGGCTCACTCACCCCAAAATCAAAGCAGTTGAAGGAGGACCGGAAGTAGCCCCTGGGCCCCAGGCCGTACATCTTCAGGGACATCTCTGTGAGGAAGAGACCCAGGAAAACAAACTCTGCAAAGTCTAGGAGAAGCCGGAGAAGAGGGGGATTAGCTCGCGTCCTCCCCCCACCTGGCTCCAGCCCAGACGGGAGGACACCAGACCTCCGGGCTGACCCAGGGGGGCGCTTCCAGGCCTGGCCGGCGGCCCCTGAGCTCCAACCTCAGCCCAGGACACAACAGCCCGCCAACAGACAGGGAGTGTCGCAGAGAGGTGCTCCTTCCAGCTTGAAAGCTGAGTGCCCAGTGCCTTGGGACACAGAGGCAGCCTCCCAGGACTGGGCTCGAGAGTGAGTTCTGGGCCAAAGGCCCAAATCTCCCAGAGGAGGACCCAGGCGTCAGGCAGAGGGCGCCCAACCCCCGTGGAAGAGCTGGACGGCCTTGAGCCTGTCCTGCCTTCAGTCTCATTCCACGCTCCGTGCGCTGACGGCAGCTGGAAGCCCTCAGCCACCCGGCCAGAACCCCCATCCCGCTGCGAGGACCTCCTGACCCCCTTGGACGCACAGCAGCACCGTGTTGGGTTTTGACCATGTTTGCAGGCTCGCCCCCCTAAAGGCGAGTGTCCCTACCACCTGACAGCCCCAGGCCCCCGCAGTACGAGTCTCCCAGGAGGCACCCATGCTTGCTGGGGGCCTTGGGGAGTCACACAGAGACCCCTGTGGGTGGGGTGCCTTCCGCTTCCCGCAGGCTGGGCCGGGCAGGCAGCAGTGGTGAGCAGGGCCTGCCTCAGCCCAGGGATCCCTCCACGGCAGTGCTGACCCGGCTGGCGGGACTGAAGGGAGGCTGCACTGGACCTGCTGCAAATTCAGCGCACACAGACACTACCCTAACCCAGCCTGAGCAGAAGGCAGGGTCAGGGCAAGAAGAAACATCCAAAAGCTGTGCGAGGCCACAGACCGCAGGACAACGCAGCCGAGCTCAGCCACTGACGGGCCGGCCGCCAGACCAGGAATTCCAGACGTCAGAACAAGGTCACAGTCTTTGATCCTCCTCCCAAAGCTGGAATCTACCTATCATTTCAGACAGTGAGCCTCTGACCCCAGGGCACAGGAGCCAGGGAAGCAGGTCAGCACCAAGGGCAGAGCCCACCGTGCGGGGACCGAGGGGTCCAGTCACCAGGCAGGGTGCCCATCCAGCCTCCCCAGGGTCTCTGGCATCCAGGCTGGTTGGGAGACTGGACCTCAAGCAGCTCATGCTAAAGCAGATGGTAGAAAAGAGGGCCACACGCTTGCTGCCCTCCCTGCGCACCCCGAAACCTACTCCCCCCACGGCTCTCCACCAAGTGCTGCACAGGGGCAGCGGCCTTATTGGGCAGGTCTGCGGCAGCCGAGGCCCTGTATGAGCAGAGACGTCAGTTCCACTGCCCACTGGGCACCGTGCCTCACAGACACACACGTGATAGTCCATACGGCCCTGGAAGGTCTCGGGCAGGGGACCGGAGTACGTGGACAACCAGCTCCTGCCTGGCCTCTGAAACCAGTCAAAACCACCACCAGGGCACCCGAGCCAAGCACAGGATGAGTAATGAGACGGCAAAGCAGCCCTCCTGGGGAAACCGCAGGAAAGCTGTGCCTGAGTCCAGTCGGAACACAAGCCCCATGGCCCCTGCCCCTCAGGACCCCACGAGAGGAGCTCAGGTCCTGGGAGGAGAGACCGTGGAGATGGGCACCCCAGCCACACACACGGCAGGCCTTGCAGCTGACACTACCTGGGTGTCCACCTTGCTCCCAGGAGACCAAAGCGGGAGCCCTGTGCATGAACGAGCACAGGAACCGCCAAAGGGGAGGCTTTCAGAGAAAGGGGACACCTGGAGCGGAGCCCCCGGCACCCTGCCTGCTCCTTCTCTCTCCCAAGGAGGAGACCCTCAGCTTCACGTGCTCAGCCTCCCCTCAGAGGCCGAGAAAGGGTGTTCACGCATTCATCCCTAAAGCATTCATTCGATTAGCAGGCACTGGCGCTACTCTGAGCTGGCCCGGGAGACAGCTGACCCCTCTCTCCAGGAGATCACAGGCTAGGGGAGCAGAGCAGGTAGGTTAAACAGTGTCTGCATTATAACAAGAGGACAGAGTGCTGTGGGGACAGAGGGACAGAGGGGAGGGTGGTCAGGTCCATTCCGTGAGGCCTGGGGGTTCACGGGATGACGGCACCCACTCCCATCCCTCCTTCACCATCCAAGCCTCAGTCTCGGGGTCCTTGGTGCACTGGGAGCGGTGTGCTTGGTGGGCAGGCAGTGAGGTGCACAGTACCCGCGCTCTGCGGGGCGGCCAGCCTCAGGCCAGAGTCCCATGGCGAGCTCTGATGAAGCTGGTCCAGAAGGGGAGTCCCCACCTCCACGTCTGCCTTCTCCAAGGCCTGCCCTCCCTTGCTGGGTCAGCCTGTCTCAGCTCCAGCCCAGCTGTCAAGGGCACTGAGCAGAGGTGTCCAGAGGCAGCACAGACCCACCCCTCCCTCCAGCCATTTTTCCTGGGGAATGCTGATGAGCTGAGGAGTCTCCAGGAAACCACAGAGAAGGCAAGGCAGTGAGGGGGCAGATTCCCCGCCAGGGATACCTACGGCCTGGCCCAGCACCTGGACACTTCCAGCCTCGCGCTCCTGCATGTCAGACAAGCGACCAGGCCATGCGGCTCACCCCCAGCCCGCTCAGCTGGTAAATGCCCAGGAAACAAGGAGAAACCACAAGACTGACTGGGCACCACCGGCTTCTTCCGAGGGAAGAAAAGGCCTGGTTAGGAGGCCCCAGGGAGCAGCCGCACCATTCGCCGAGGTAGGAGGAAGCCCTGTCTCCCCGGGCCCTACCCAGCCCCCAAGGGCGGGGAGACTGTAGCCTGAGGACTCAAGGCAGACACTGAATTCGGTCCCAAACCACGTCCCAAGCCACCAAACCACGGGTCCAGGACACATGATTCAGGGGCCAGGGCACCAGTTCCACGTGCACCCTCTGTTCCGTAACCCGCCCTCTCCCGGGGAGCCAGCCTGGCTGCTAGAAGCTCCCTGGGCTCCTCTTGCTTCTGCTTTCTCTTTGCCCTTTCCCATTATACCAGCAAAGATTTCAATCGAAGTCTGGGAAACAGTAGCCTGGAGTCCCACCCCCAACACAGGCCTCCCCACCCACACTTTCAAGCGGCCCGTGGAGCCATCTGTCCACTCAGTGTGGCTGGCCCGTCAGAGGCCAGAACTGGGAGCCAGGAGGGCTCTTCTCTGGAGAATGGCTCTCTTGGCCACCTAGGTGACTGCAGGCGCGCCGGGTTCCGAGCAGAGAGGGAGGCGCTTGTGGGGCCCCAGAACAGGCTGTTTCCAGATCAGCCGCAGACACGAGCATGAAGGCGGCTGACCCTGGGGAAGGGGAAGGAGGGAGCACTGACCGCAGGACAGAAGTCCCTCGCGCAGGGTCCTTGGAGCTCTTGTGAGGCAAGACAACAAAGCAAGACCTTCAGCTGCTTGTGCCCTGCAGGGCCCTTGGGTGTGAAGGGTCAGCCTGGTCCCTGGGGAGGGACCTCAGCTCTTTGCCTCCTTGGAACTGTAGCCAGGGCCGGACAGGTCATGACCCAGAGCCCCTGGCCTGGCCTGAGGCTCATGGACACAGGCTTGCAAGGCATCCCTGGTCATGGACACACCCAGATTCAACCAACCAAGAAGAAAAACAGAAACAACCAGAAGAGCCCTGGGAGATCGCTGGGAGCCAGGACTCTTTCTCCTCAGGAATCCAGGGCAGATGGGTCCCTCATTCCCTGGGTCTAAAGCTCTTACGGTGGAGGACACATGACCCCGGTGCCCCAGACCCCTCACTCATTTCCCACTACCCTGATGGATGGGGGTCTAACCAGATCAGCCAGGCTCCCTGGAAGCACGGCCCAGGTTGTTGGGGAGTCCTGGGATGGGGAGCCCGGGCCTGGGGCACAGCCAGGCCCCCAGCAGAGGCCCCTGGAGCACTTTAGTCAGCACAGGGGTCCTGCCCAGGGCATCCCAAAGCAACAGGCTGTGGACCGGAAGCGGTTCA